CGATCATTGCATCAGTCTATTCAAATCATCCTGGAGTGTTCTAGTGTCCTCATTAGAATAAATTGGACGGCCTATTTTGGTGTCATCAGCAAATTTGCTTATGTTGCTATTTATTCCCTCATCTCTGTCGTTTATGTAAATTTTGAACAATAACGGGCCCAACACTGACCCCTGAGGAACACCGCTTGTGACGTGCTCCCATTCTGATTTCTCCCCATTTATGCAAACTCTCTGCTGCCTATTTGTCAGCCATGCCTCTACCCAGGAAAAAAATTGTCCTCCTATTCCGTGTGCCCTAAGTTTCCTCAATAGCCTCTGGTGTGGAACTCTATCGAAAGCCTTACTGAAGTCCATATACACAATATCATATTCATTACCATGATCTACCTCCTCAAACACCTTAGTGAAAAGTTAGTAAATTCGTAAGACAGCAACGGCCTTTGTAAAACCGTGTTGAGATTCATTAATCAATCTGTGCCTATCAAGATGGTTACGAATTGCTTCGGCAATTATTGATTCCATAAATTTTCCCACTATGGAGGTAAGGCTTATTGGTCTATAGTTCGAAGCCAAGGACCTGCCACTTGGCTTGTAAATAGGTATTACATTTGCCATTTTCCACTTACAAGGCACTATGCCAATTTGTAGTGATATGTTGAAAAGATTAGCAAAAGGTATGCTAAGCTCCTCTTTACATTTCTTGAATACCCTTGCAAACAGTTCATCAATGCCTGGGGAGTTGTTAGGCTTTAGTTTCTCTATTTGTCTGAGGACCATGTCACTAGTTTCCGCAATCGTACATAGTTTATTATCCTGTTCTACATAATCTATTATTTCAGGAATATCGCTAGCATTTCCCTGATCATGTGGTTTTGAGCTTCGAATACATGGTAGAGTTACAAGAGGAGAGGAAAGCAGGAAGGGCAGGATGAATTAAGCCAAACTACAAGAAAGGGGACCATGCAGGCATGAAGAATTTCATTCATGGGGTTCAGTGGGACAGAGAACTGACAGGGAAATCAGTACACAAGATGATTGAATATGTGACAACAATATTCAAGGAAGCTGAAGAGAGGTTTGTACCTAAGGGTAACAGAAATAAAGAAAAATCCAGGATCAACCCTTGGTTTACCCAAAGGTGTGGGGAGGCCAAAACCAAGTGTGCTAGAGAATGGAAGAAATATAGAAGACAAAGGACCCAGGAGAATAAGGAGAGCCAGAAATAAATATGCACAGGTAAGAAGGGAAGCCCAAAGACAATACGAGAATACCATAGAAGAGAAAGCCAAAGCTGACCTAAAGCTGCTGTATAGCCACATCAGGAGGAAAACAACAGTCAAGGACCAGCTAATCAGGCTGAGGAAGGAAGGATGGGAGGTCACAAGAAACGACAGCAAAGTATGTGAGGAGTTCAACATGAGATTCAAAGAAGTGTTCACAGAGGCAACTGAAGGGACTCCAGAAAAGCGGAGAGTGGGGTACACCATCAAGTGTTGGACACAATACATACAACCAAGGAAGAAGTGAAGAGGCTGCTAAGCGAGCTAGGTACCTCAAAGGCGATGGCGCCGATAACATCTCTCCATGAGTCCTGAGAGAGGAAGGAGAGAGACTATGTGTACCACTAACAACAATCTTCAACACATCTATCGAAACAGGGCGACTACCGAGATATGGAAGACAGCAAATGTAGTCCCAATTTTTTAAAAAGGAGAGACAGACACGAAGAATTAAACTACAGACCAGTGTCACTGACATGTATTATATGCAGTGTCATGGAGATTATCAGGAGAAGAGTGGTGAAGCACCTAGAAAGGAATGAGCTTATCAAAGACAGCCAGCAAGGTTTCAGAGACGGGAAATCTTGTGTCACAAACCTACTGCAGTTCTGTGACAGGGTGACAGTAATAAGACGAGAGAGAGAGGGGTGGGAAGATCGCATTTTTTTGGATTGTAAGAAGGCGTTTGACACGGTTCCGCAAAAGAGATTAGTTTTAAAGCTGGAAGACCAGGAAGGCATAACAAGGAAGGTGCTACAATAGAACAGGGAATACCTGTCAGGAAGACAATAGCGAGTCATGGTACGTGGCGAGGTGTCAGAGTTGGCGCCTGTAACGAGCGGGGTGCCACAATTGCCAGTCCTAGGACCGATGCTGTTTCTGGTATTTGTGAACGATATGACGGTTCTAGTATTTGTGAACAATATTTGCAGATGATGTGAACTTGGCGAGAAGAATTTAGTCGTACGAGGACAATGCAGAATTACAAAGGGATCTGGACAGGATGCAGGCCTGGTCCAGCAATGGGCTCCTGGAGTTCAACCCCACCAAGTGCAAAGTAATGAAGATTAGGGAAGGGCAAAGAAGACCACAGACGGAGTACAGTCTAGGGAGCCAGTCACTACAAACCTCACTCAAGGAAAAGGATCATGAGGTGAGTATAACACCGGGCACATCTCCTGAGGCGCACGTCAACCAAATAACTGCTGCAGCATACGGACGCCTAGCAAACCTAAGAACAGCATTCCGACATCTTAATAAGGAGTCGTTCAGGACCCTGTACACTGTGCACGTTAGGCCCATATTGGAGTATGCAGCTCCAGTTTGGAACCCACACCTAGCCAAGCATGTAAGAAAACTAGAGAAAGTGCAAAGGTTTGCATCAAGACTAATCCCGGAGCTAAGGGATGTGTCCTAAGAGGAGAGGTTAAAGGAAATCGACCTGACGGCACTGGAAGACAGGAGATAAAGGGGGGATATGATAACGACGTATAAAATACTGAGAGGAATCGACAAGGTGGACACAGACAGGATGTTCCAGAGCAACAAGGGGTAAAAAATGGAAGTTGAAGACTCAGTTGAATCAAAGGGATGTTAGGAAATATTTCTTCAGTCGCAGAGTTGTCAGGCAGTGGAATAGCCTTGAAAGTGCCGTAGCGGATGTGGGAACCATACGTAGTTTTAGAACAAGGTTTGATAAAGGTCACGGAGCAGGGAGAGAGAGAACCTAGTAGCAATCAGTGAAGAGGCGGGGTCAGGTGGTGTGAATCGACCCCTGCAACCACAAACAGGTGAGTACAAATGGGCGAGTACGTACACACACACACACACACACACACACACACACACACACACACACACACACACACACACACACACACACACACACACACACACAAACACACTTAGAAATCATAGAAGAAACACTGAGATGTTACACGTCTCTCTGGGAACATAGAGAGATCCACTTGCTAACGTCTATACACTGATGTATCTCTCTGTGTGCATAAACAATTACACACCTCTCAGTGTATATATACTGATACATACACATCTTTCAGTACACATTCACTCTGAGACATGCTCCTCTCATTGTATAAACACAAAGGCACGCTTTTCATTGCAAATGCACAGGGATACACGTCTTCTCTTTGTATATATATTATCTCTTAATGTACATATACGAGAAAATCGCATCTCTCAGTGTATTTTAAATTTAGAAGCACAAGTCGGTGGGTGTCTGTGCTTATACACTGAGAAATTATATTTCAATATATACATTGAGAAGAATGTATCTCTGTATGCAGACATCATGATGCATTTATCTCAAAATGAATGTGGATGGAGATACACATACGTAACCTTCTATGTACACTGAGAGAAACTCACCTCTCAATGTATATACACTGACAGTAAAGAAAAAAAAGGGAAGTTGAAAAAAAACGAAAGAGAACAAGAATAAGATGAACTACTGACGGAAAAAATATTCAAGCGAAGGAGGCCAAAAAAAAAAAAATGCTTAATGTAAAGAGAGCGAAACGTTGTGCCAAGTGTTCCAACATGCACTGTGCAGGAAAATACTTTTCTCTAGGTCTGTCCCAGCATGTGTTGTACAGTTAACAACTTTCCCTCTCGTAATGTTTAAGTACGAGTTGTCTTAAAGACACTTAAACATTGATCAATATTATTGATCATTACATATGATTTTCTAAGCAGATTCTGTAAAGGAAGTTTTAATTAAAAATCGTCATTTAATGCATTACTTTTATTCTAAAGAGCATTATATATATATATATATATATATATATATATATATATATATATATAAATATATATATATATATAATATATATATATATATAGTTATGGTGACTGAATTCCAGTTACCATTTTGAAAAGTACATTATTAAGACCTGTCATTATAAATAGATAACGATAAATAACAATAAATTACTTATCACAGCATTTCCGCGTCTCCAAAACATATTATTTTCTCCCTGACGCACCTTAGTCATAAAACCATATCCAGAAAGTTAGACTACAGTCTTAATGAAAACAAAAGCAATCCACATAAATATCTATCGACTACAGTGTATTCTTGGGTGCCACAGAAAACTGTAATATCATATCTGATGCACGAGTTATTAATGAAGTGGGCGTATTGCCCAGATTTGAATATAAACGCACAAGTTGCAGAACACGTTTTTGTTGGGACAACGTTTAGCCTGTTTTAGTGCTTTTCGAGTCATGAAAAATCTATACTCAAAGCAAAATGTTGTCCCAATGAAACGTGTTCTTTAGCTTGTGTTCTTCTCTTCACGTAAGTTTTATTTGGTATAAGATTAACACATAGAAATAAGTTTAATATTATTTCAGTTTTTAAAACTAAATCGCCAACGAGAATGTTCGTTAACTCTTCGTTATTGCCTTTAATATGACCCACATGTCAACTCTTCTGATCTTCTGAATAACTAAAATGTTCCTTATTTTGATATTTACCAACAGTGATCAGTTATTGTTTGCACACACGGAAAAAAATTCTTTGGTTTAAAAGTATATGATTTTCGTATATATAATAATATAAAGAAATGATACTTAACAGTTCATTATTAATTCAGAATGTTAATTATTTAAACATTCTGTCTGCATAATGAGAAGTTAAGTTACTGTACAAGAATTATTAATAAAAATCGTAAGTTGTATATTGGGAATATATTTTTTTTTTTCATAGCTACAGTTATCCAAGTTGATGTCCTCACTAAATAGAACCCGTAATTATCTATACTTACTAACAACGGAATTTAATCTTCAGTTTTTCTTAATAAAATGATTCACACCTCTTAAATATGCAAATAAAATGCACATTTTATATTTATCGAGTAAAATAATAAACGTATCATTAATCCCCATTATGTTTGCGATATCTTCACACTGAAGCCCCTGATGACTTGAGCAGCTCCTGTAGGGCAGCGATGTACGTCTGGGCCATCTGCAGCGTCTCAAATTTTGAAAGCTTCCTGTCGTTGCCCAGACACGGAATCACCTCACGAAGACGGTCGAAGGCGTCGTTTAGTCCGTGCATCCTACGACGTTCCCGAGCGTTAGCCGCAACTCTTCGCGTTCTGACGACTTCTTTTCCAGGCAGCCGGTGTCGTCTCCGTCGTTGTGGTCGCATCACGTAAGTCCTGTGGGGGGGCATCTTTCCCTTATCAGGAATTGCATTGTGGGACGAATCTTGACTGGGGTCCAAATTCAGATCTACAGGGGGAAGAGGATTTGGAACTTTAGCTATTGTCGCATTGAAATCACTGCTTTGGTTATACCGGTGTGGATAAACTGGTGTGTCTGAAAAAGCAGTGGTACTCTCCCCTCCAGGGTGATAACTCGGATATTGTGCTACATCATAGACGCACTGAGAGTCGAGAATGGTTAGCTCATACCTGCCGCTGTCCTCTTGTGTTGTCCCATCTCCATGGGTGCTGACTTCTTGTCTGGAGCTGGGTAAGATGTCGTCGTACGCTGCTTTAGTTCCCCTGTATGCTGCACTAGGGTATCCTGCTTCTTCCAAGTAAAAGTAATCCTCCATGGCAGCTGGTGGTCAAGGGTCACATCACTACTAGGCAGTAGTTTCTCCTGGGGGCGCCAACACCACACCGTCACAGATACGGCAAACATCGGGAAGCCTCGGGGACACAACTTCCTCTCCAGGGTAACCACGGATGTGCTGCCGAGTTCATTCTCTCTCTCTCTCATATATCACCTCACGCTTCCTTTGCCTTTTATATGTATTGTAAATTGGATTTATAGTTTGTTATATATATAAATATTCTAGTGTTTGCAGAGAAAATGTAACTTTCGGTTTCACAAGAGGCGGTTATGTAGTTCCGTGGCAGCTCCCAGCACGATTGGCGACGGTCTTGCGAGCCAGCCGCTTCACACACTAGTGGAACTTTTCATGAAACGTCGTCTAGTTTCATAATGATTTGGACAGTGCATTAAAATTTAAGTTTTAAATGCATTATTTTCATATATTCAGTTCGACTAAAATAAATTTCATTGTTGCCTGGCTCTGTCTTTAGAGAAATTTCTGGAACTAAAGCCTAATGTATATATATGTAAAGAAGACAAGTGATTTTATTAGAATTGAACGGAGAGCCCGAGGCGCATGCGCAGAGTCAAGCTGTGCCATATGGCTGCATCACGTGATCTGATGGAACCAATCAGCGTCGCCTGAAGTGAATAACGGTAAGGTCTCTTGCAAAAATTATTTCCTAGTTAAGCATGTGTTGTGAACATGCTTAATACAACAGTCGCATGTAGTCTTATCCCAGGATCAGTGAGTCTGGTCCCCTTGGGAACACCAGCCAACAGTAACTCCTCAAGGCACTTGTAAATCATCTTGCTCGTGAACCAGAATATATAATGCTACACGTTCATCATAGTTGTGCACCCGCTAATTTACACGACACATTATACAGCATGTTGATTAAGACACAGCTGGGTATCTTAATTGTTGAAATTTTTCGCCTACACAGCAGGCTTCTTCACTCAATTTCCACACGTCTTAATCAACAGCTTTATACCACTTCAACAAAGCCTGCATTATATAGTTGTATCATCTTACGAACACATTTTTAAAGCAGTAATCCTGACTAATACCTTTGTGCATTACTACGTGGGCCAGACAGACGAGCTAACTATTTTTAATTACCAATATATTTATTACTAAACTAAAATATGGTTATCAGTCCGCAAGCATTTACCCAAGAGATGTCTAACCTATGGATAGTCTAAGTTATATAGCAACAACCATTTCAAAATAAAACTCAACCTATTTCTAAATATATATATTAACACAACCATATACATACCGTTATAATACATATATAAACTTTCACAATATCATAAATTACATCAACATTAGTATACACCAGGCATTAATAAATCAGCATACTTCCTACAACACAGGAGCGCTTGTAGCAGGCCAGTAGACATAAGTGTGTTGCGGGAGGTGTGTGGTATATTCATCATCATTTAGCAAATGAGTGTGAGTGTACTTAGCTGGAGTAGTGAAAGCGAATGTTTTTATTGTTTTTGGGTGGGGGGATCTGATGTGCTCTTGGAGTTTGACTATAGTAATTTCTATGAAAGGATTCAGGAAAATAGAATTTTGAGGGTCATTTGCATTGTGATGTCTGTGTATTTTAAGAAAGACAAATGATTATTTAATGGAAAAATGAGTCTGCATATTTTTGGATCATCTTACCTTGGTGAAAACGATCGATGAACAAGAACAGGACTCAGTGTTAAAATTGATGCAACGAGAACAGTAAAATACCAGTCCTCTTACTTGCGAGCGAGCGCACACGCGCGGGCGGGCGCGCACACACACACACACACACACACACACACACACACACACACACACACACACACACACACACACACACACACACACACACACACACACACATTCATGGAAAATCCTGTGTCACAAACCTACTAGAGTTTTATGACAAGGTAATAGAAGTAAGACACTAGAGAGAGGGGTGGGTAGATTGCATTTTCTTGGACTGCAAGAAGGCCTTTGACACAGTTCCTCATGAAAGAATGGTGTAAAAGCTAGAGTATCAAGTACGCATAACAGGAAGGGCACTGCAATTAATAAAAGAATACTTGACAGGTAGGCAACAAAGAGTCACGGTACGTGACGAGACGTTAGAGTGGGCGACTTCCACAGGGACCAGTACTATTTTTGATATATGTGACTGACATGGCGGAAGGGATAGACTCAGAAGAGTCCCTATTTGTAGATGATGTTAAGTTAATGAGGAGTATTAAATCGGATGAGAATCAGACAGGAATACAGAGATGTGGACTGGCTGGAAGCCTGGTCCAGCAACTGGCTCTTCAAATATAAGCATGCCAAATGCAAACTCATAAAGCTCATGCAAGGGCAAAGGAGACCACAGATAGAGCAAAGGCTAGGTGGCCAAAGACTGCAAACCTCACTCAAGGAAAAAGATCTTGGGGTGAGTATAACACAGAGCACATCTAAGGCGCACATCAACTAGGTAACTGCTGCAGCATATGACTCAAACCCTGCAACCACAAACAGGCGAGTACAAATATGTAAGTACACTGTTTTTTGTCTCTCTCTCTCTCTCTCTCTCTCTCTCTCTCTCTCTCTCTCTCTCTCTCTCTCCCTCTCCTGTTGACTGTAGTCAAGTACCGAGTACTGCAGATTCGCACATCGTGCACTCGTCTAGCTCTACCTAACCAAACATTCGTCACTACATATTTACACAAGTCTTCCTTCACACGAGGCAGGCAAGAAATCGGAGGACGAGAGTCTTGTCAATACCTCAAGAATTTACATGTTTTGCTTTCGTCACATTCATTCTAACATTTTCAGGTACACCGAGGTTTTGTACTCTTCAACCATCATCGGATACTCGCATCAAACACATACACACATACACACAGGGAATACCTGTCAGGAAGACAACAGCGAGTCATGGTACGTGGCGAGGTGTCAGAGTGGGCGCCTGTAACGAGAAGGTTGCCACAGGACCGGTGCTGTTTCAGGTATTTGTGAACGACATGACTGAAGGAATAGACTCCGAAGTGTCCCTGTTTGTAGATGTGAAACTGATGAGAAGAATTCAATCGGACGAAGACCAGGCCGAACTACAAAGGAATCTGGACAGGCTGCAGACCTGGTCCAGCAACTGGCTCCTGAAGATCAACCCCACCAAACGCAAAATCATGAAGATTGGGGAAGGGCAAAGAAGACCGCAGACGGAGTACAGCCTTGGAAGCCAGAGACTACAAACCTCACTTAAGGAAAAGGATCCTGGGGTGAGTATAACGCCGGGCATATCTCCAGAGGCGCACATCATCCAAATAACTGCACCATACGGACACCTAGTAAACATAAGAACAGTATTCCGCCATCGTAATAAGGAATCGTTCAGGACCCTGTACACTGTGTACGTTAGGTCCATATTGGAGTATGCAGCACCAGTTTGGAACCCACACCAAGCCAACCATTTAAGAAAACTAGAGAAAGTGCAAAGGTTTGCAACAAGCCTAGTCCCAGAGCTAAGGGGTCTGTCCTACGAGAAGACGTTAGGGGAAACCGACTTGACGGCACTGAAAGACAAGAGAGACAGGGGGAATATGATAACGACATATAAAATAGTTGACAGAGACAGAATGTTCCAGAGATGGGACACAGCAACAAGGGGTCACAGTTGGAAGTTGAAGACTCAGCTGAATCACAGGAATATTAGGAAGCATTTCTTTAGTCACAGAGTTTTCAGGAAGTGGAATAGTGTGGGAAGTGATGTAGATGCAGGATGTGGAGGCAGATGCATCCATAGCTTTAAGAAGAAGTATGATGAAGCATGTAAAGAAATTAAAGGAAGTGCAAAGGTTTGCAGCAAGACTAGTCCCGGAGCTATGGTGTATGTCCTATGAGGAAAGATTAAGGGAAATCCACTTGACGACACTGGAGGACAGGAGAGATAGGAATGTGATAACGACATATAAAATACAGAGAGGAATTTACACGGTGGACAGAGATGGGACACAGCAACAAGGGGTCACAGTTGGAAATTGAACACTCATGTGAATCACAGGGACGTTAGGAAATATTTTTTCAGTCACAGAATTGTCAGGAAGTGGAATAATCTGGAAAGTGATGAAACTGGGGCAGGATCTATACATAGCTTTAAGAAGAGGTATGATGAAGCTCATTGAGCAGGAAGAGTGACCTTGTAGCGACCAGTGCAGTGGCGGGGCCTGGAACTGTGTCTCGACCCGTGCAACTAGGCGAGTATAATAGACGCATACACACACACACACACACACACACACACACACACACACACACACACACACAAAACACACACACACACATACACATACACCCACACACATCCTGGGGTGAGTATAATACCGAGCACATCAGAGGCGCACATCAATCAGATAATTGCTGCAGCGTACGGGCGTTTGGCAAACCTAAGGATAGCGTTCCGATACCTCAGTAAGGAATCCTTCAAGAGACTGTACACCATATACGTCAGGCCCATACTGGAGTATGCAGCACCAGTTTGGAATTCACACCTGTTCAAGCACATCAAGAAATTAGAGAAAGTGCAAAGGTTTGCAACAAGACTAGTCCCAGAGCTAAGGGGATTGTCTTACAAAGAAAGGTTAAGGGAAATTGGCCTGACGACACTGGAGGACGGGAGGGTCAGGGGAGACATGATAACGACGTATAAAATACTGCGGGGAATTGACAAGGTGGACAGAGACAGGATGTTCCAAAGATGGGGCACAGAAACAAGGGGTGACAATAGGAAATATTTCTTCAGCCAAAGAATAGTCAGGCAGTGGAATAGCCTAGAAAGTGAGGTACTGGAGGCGGGAACCATACAAAGTTTTAAGACGAGGTTTGATAAAGCTAATGGAGCAGGGAAAGAGAGGACCCAGTAGCAATCAGTGAAGAGGCGGGGCCAGGAGCAATGAATCGACCCCTGCAACCACAAATAGGTGAATACAAATAGGTGAGTATACACACACACACACACACACACACACACACACACATACATATATATATATAAAATATATATATATTATATATATATATATATATATAAAATATATATATATATATATATATATATGTATATGTCGTGCCGAATAGGCAGAACTTACGATCTTGGCTTAAATAGCAAAGCTCATCTTGCCATATAGGACAAGCGAAAATTTAAGTATGTAATAATTTCTCCAAAATCATTCTGAACCTAACGAAAAAAATATATTTCACTGTGTTTGTTTAGTATTAAATTATTGTAAACAAATCTAAAATAT